TACAGGTCAGTTTCAGTATTGTTTCAAAATGGCTGAAGGTCCTGCTTCCTTTTAAAAATAAAAAGTTAACCAAACATAATTTTAAAAATTAAAACTCAATTAAATTTAAGAGGAAAAACTTTGTTTCAAAGCTTGAATGTATCTATTTGGCACTCTCCTTTAAGTTGTATGGATTTACTATAAGACAAGTTGGTCGGGGACCCACAGGAAATCAGATTATTTGATCAGAAATAAATGGTTAAAAATAAAATAATTTAAGTATTATTTTTCAGACTGGTGGTTTATGTACATGTACTGCATCCAGAGTGTTATTGCAGGCATTTTAACTTTGAATATAAACTGCCTTGAGGTGACTGTTGTTGTGATTTGTTGCGTGGCTGAGTCGGAGCCTGAGAACCTTTTTGTAGTGAACAGCTATTTTGTAAAGTATCTATTCTTAAAGGTCTCGCTGCTGAAATAAGGTAAATGTTTCTCAGTAAAAATTCTCAATGAATATGCTTGCTTTAGTAACTTTGTTATTTTGTATATTTTGATACAATTACTGATTTTATTTTTAATGAATATCACTTTAATGTTGCAGCTGCTGATTGTATTAAATATACTGAGCTATAAAGTATCCAAATTTTTAAAATTGTAAGTCTATATCCTGGACTCTGCTGTATTCCTTGAACTCTTCCTGAGCAGGTTTATGTATTATGGCAGGACGCACAGTCTTGCTTTAGGGGCCTTAGGGGTATGCTCGGTCTGCATAAATGTTTAAAATTTATATTGTGGAAAAATAATCAAATTTATTCACCTTACTTGGTGGTTTAAATGTTGTGGCTGAACGGTATTTATAATCTATTTATTTTATATTTGTATGAACGCAGAAGCCAAACTCTGACTTTAAAAAAACAACAAATTTTTAACTTAGTTCTATTTACAAATCATTGAGCTGTTAAATAATGGCAGTGCCTGCTTTCTGTTGTGCCAGTTTATTTGCATCACTGAGCTCATCTTATGTTGCCTAAGGTTATGAAACTCTTGCTGCCTTCAGAAATGCAACAAATATTATGAACCCACTTTGTAATTGAAAGTATTGATTCTTTACTTAAAATACCAACTGTTATACTTGAGTTATTTAACCTTGTAAATGATCAAAACACCTGGAAAAACACTTAAAAATGGAAATGTATTGTAATGCTCCACTCTACTGGCCTCAGTAAGAAGCAGGACTGCAGCTCTCAGGTTTATTCACAGGAACATAATGGATATCCATCTAAATGTTGGCGGGTTAATTTTAAGCTTTGCTCAGCTGCTCAGAAAAATTCTTGACTTAGAATCTGCTCACTTTATCTGAGCAACCAAAGGAGAGGTCTGAAGACTCAAAGTACAAGAGTCTTTACGGTGGTGCAGGGAGTAGAAACCAGCACAATAGAAATACATTTGCATTGCAGCTGTGCTTAAGTAAAGTACTGGAGTAAATGCACAAAGTTGCGTTCCACTGCTCACTTTGAGTGGTGCTAGACCCTGTAATATTAGGTGTTGTGGAGGGAAATACCCCCCCCCCCCTTTTTGTGCTCTAATTAAAATAAATGGGGCTTGCATTGCACACTATAGGCAAATCTATAGTTCTATACTCTGTATTTTCTCATTTGATTCGGGACATAAAGAAATCGTACAATTTTAGGATTCATGAAAGAGACATCTTCAGTTTGTTTTTGTACCATTTAAAGAGCCAGTGTGCTGATGCCGTTCCTAATTGTCTGGCTTTAAACCACCTTTAACTGGCACAAACTACCACTCTTCCATCTATATTTTAATTGGATTTTTACTGGACTTGATATCTTGGTGACCATGTGAAATTGCAACACTATATAAAATACTTGCTTTGAGCTGCCCGGTGCTTTTCAGGTGTCTGCGTATGAACAGCGTTCGCCTGCAGGACCCGGTGCTGGAGCAGGCCTGCGAGCGGAGCGGGGTGAGGTACGAGGACCTGGGCCTGCCCCAGGAGCTGACAGTGTGGGTCGACCCTGGAGAGGTGTCCTGCAGGTTTGCTTTAATCATTAGTCACCTTGCATTTGTGCGACGCTGCAGGTTACATTGTTTCAAAGTCCTCAGTCCTTTTGGTTTCACATCTAACTTACTAACCAGATGGTGACATCATTAAGACATGAATAACCATTTATTTTAATGTCAGAGTTTAAAAGCAGAGTTTGAAGTAAATGCTTAATTATTGATCATCCACACAGTGACAAGACTTGAGGAAAAGTGCAAATAAATTGGTCTAATCAACTTTTTTTTTTTTATGGCTCAAACAGATGGTGATATGATTAGTTAACAGTGTCTTTATGCCAAAGCTAGAGCTAACAAGTGGTTCAGCGAGTTGTTGAATCAATAAAGCAAGTGTGTCTTTCTATAATACACAAAATCTTTATCTCAACTTCTCCTAGACCACCAGGAGTTAACAGCCAAACTGAAGGTTCTTATCTATATCAATATACCATTGCATTGGCTGACAACCATTAAGCAAGACGATAAAATGACCTGTTTTTTGTTAACTATTTTACCTTGTGCATCTACCACACCTATAGTTTCATTTTTACAAATAAGCATCTGATTACTTGTAATTAAGTTTGTCATGGGCATGTACTAAAATATTCATAGTTGTGTACTTGATCATTGCTGTTAAGGGAAGGCATGGATTGTGACTGAAAAGGGCTGATTTGGCTTCTTTGCTGGAGCTTTTTTGTCCTGATTTCCTGCCACTAAACTAAAGACATTTGAAGCACATGAGTTGGGTTGATGTTGTCACAGCTCTGGCAGGTTTCTAGAACTTTAGAACAAGGAGTGGTGGGGGGACAGTGTTAAGGTGGAACTTCTGGTTGGTGCATATACTGGCCTCATAATGGAAAAGCCCTTTATTGTCATTGTACATGTACAAAGAAATCGTGAAACCTGAATTTGCCGTCAGTTTCTCCAATGTTTGTTTGAATCCCTGCAGGTATGGTGAACACAGCAGTCCATTCTGCGTCTCAGTGGTGGACAACTGTCGGCGCGGCGATGGGGAATTGTCCCGCCGCATCCATGAAGCTGTGGAACGGGCGAGTCTCGAGGTCCCATCAGGAAGCTCATCAGACGAGGATGAAGACGGAGGTGGAGACAACAGCATGAGCACGAGTACCAGCAGCAGCAGCCTTTCAACCCTCTGCCCTCAAATCCCACCCGTGAACAGTGAACCCAAAACCATTCCGACTGTTAGCAACCCCAACAGTGTTTACAGGGTGAGTTCAATATATGAAATGCAGGACAATTTAAAGCCTCCCAAGCTTGTTTTATGACGATGATGATGGTAGCGTTTTATATCTTAACATTTTTCATTCTCTGTAAGATCATTAACATGAGACTTGGAAAATGGTCTTTTTTTTGGCTAAAAATGTCATTTACTGAATAAAAATTTTTAAAGCTAGAGCTTTGCAAAGTATTTTTAGTAACTTCTCTAAGAGGTCTCAGGTTTTCTAAATGACTTTGTTGTACCTGTCTTCAGTTCAGCGAGTTCTCTCCAGGTGCCCCTCAGACCTGGCTGAGGGAGAAGCGGAAAGGCTTTCCAGGAGACATGTTCCCACCTCACGGCGCTCCTGCTGGAGCCCACTTCTCAAGCCAGAAAAGCTTCAGATCCTATCGAGCCACGTTCACCTTCACTGGGCCTCGTGTTGACAAGTACCACTGGGTCAGCAAATCGCGATCCTAGCCTTAAAGCTACAAACCAGAATCTGGTTCCTGCTGATGTTGGATTTAGGCCACAGACTTTGTACATCTTTTAAAGGATAAGCTTATTTGTACCTGATTTAAAGTATTGCTGTTTAAGTATGTTTTTAAAATGTGAAAATTAATATTTTAAATAATTCTTCACTCTAATTGTCTTTTTTTTAAATTAAAGTGTGAATAAAGTAACATTGAACTGTCATTGAAAAGAAATAAATAGATTCATGCCAGCTCTACTGGCCATAGCATGTCTTGTTTTGTTTTTTCCTCTCCCTCTCTTAAACAGTTTTTAGTTAACCTAACATTTAGGACTTTTAGATAAAACATCCCAAAAGTTCTTTGAAAAACGCTGAATCTATATTTACCTGTAAAGCAGGTCAGTCTGGAAGGAAATACAGCTGCGCTGGTGTGTGTGGTGGTTGTACTGGTAGTGTAGTTAGTGATTAGCGTGTAAGAACAATCAGCTAACGACACTGCCTATACAGCCACCCCAATCACACTGACCATCAGAAACTTGTAATCTTGCAGTAAATGCTTGGGTTGTAATAAAATGTACATTTTTGTCCCGTTTAGCTTGCCTTTCGTCAGTTTCATTTTTACTCTTCATTGAAGGCCCTTGTGCAGCGTCTGGTCCTGGTGTCACACCTGCAATATTTTTAGCAGAAGTGCAGGAGACC